AATTCTTATAAGGTTTTAGTTTTAACACAATAAACATAAATATTAATACATAATCGATTTCTTATTTTTCACGTGTCTAATGCATATGTGCAAAAAAGTGGTCTAAAAATTAGGAAACATCTAAAACAGTTTCACTATCAGGTCTTACATTTTAGTCGTCTAAAAAAGTATAAAAACAATAATTGTTATGTAATATTGAAATAATAAAACAAAAAATGAATATCAATTAAAATAAAATAGAAAGAGATTTTATTATCTTGGTTTTATTTTTCCTCAGTCATTTCTTTTTTAAGTTTGGTTTTGAAAAGCAAGGGGAAGAAAATTTTCACTAGATACTCGTCATCCAAATCCCAACAAAAGAAAGGGAAGAAAGTTTTAACATAAAAATAAAGATATTTAAATGTAAAACATACTCGCATATATACAGAATATTTTTTTTTAACTTTACCATTACATATTCGTGAACGAAAAACATAAATATCTAAGTTTTAATATTTTTTTAGATGTACATAGATTGTTTTGTTTGAACTTATCTTCAATGTAAACTCTTTTTGGATAATATGCAGGGGGTTTGCAAAATCAAGTTGCAAATACAAATTTATAGGAACTAGTATGCCCCGCTCGCTCCGCTTTGCGAGAGTTGAGAATTGAATATGAAGTCTAAATTTCTAAAGACTATGCAAGTATCACTACTGTTAATAGAGAAAGAAGTCCAAAAGAGTATTAAATTCAAAAGCATAAACATACATTAGAGGAACTATCGCTGATTTTGTAATGTTAACATTAAATATATGATATAAGGAAATATATCCTCTAAATAGAAAACTATAGAGAACACACGACCTAATAAAATAATGCAGAAAGGACGGAGAAAGGAGCAAAGAACTGAAGCACACTTAGAAGACTTATGGAGAAAGCATTGGTAATTTTTGTTCATTGTAAATATTTCAACTTCATTCATCTCTTGTTTGTACTGCTCTACTCCTTTGCACACCACCGGGAAGAAATCAAGCGCCTCCTGAAGTGATTGTAGCAAACAAAAATAATGGTAAAAAATCATAAACTCCAAATCATTAAACGCAGCTGGATTACTAAGTTTATAAAGTTATGGTAACCGCAGCCTACCTAACCTGACCCAATGGCTTAGACTAACATTTCTTCATAAAAGGCATAGTGAGGTAGAATTGTAATCCTCAGTTCGCTAATGTAGTCACATTATAATTAGTTTAAAAACAGTTCACGAGCACCCAATTAGAACATAACACTGTCCTACCGGAGACTATTGGACTACCAGACTAAACAAGTTGGAGAACACCTAAAGTTAGTCATCGATCCTTATACTCTCGATATCTAAACATTTTTAGTTCAATACAAACACTTTGAATGGACTCGGTATCTACACCCCTACATCGACCTTTCTTTCCGATCTCTCAATCCTAAGGATGGATAATAAAAGTAACTGGAAAATGCAGAATTACAGCATATATACATTAATTGAATTGTGTGGCAGAGAAAAAAAAACTTCTCAAGGATCCTAGTGAATTACCATGCTCTTATTTTTCGAAATTTGAGTTCCTCTGCAATGCTGGATCATTGTATTGTTGCTATTTCTGCTAGCTGTATGGTTCCTGCTGCAGCTGCCTTACATTTTATGTTGATGTGCTGCAGTTACAACTCCTGCATTTACTGTTATGGTTACAAACTAAAACAAACAGCAAAAAAATGGGCTCACTGTCCAATTAATCTTAACTCTGAGAAGCTCCCACAGGTTCATCTCTTTCTGACAATTGCCACAAATTGGAATCACTACTTCACTCTGCTGAGTTAACTATTCTCGCCGTAACCAAAATTGGAGACAATCACAATAGTGGGCTGAAAAAACTCATCTACAACTACTGCACATGCACTTTTATTCACGACCAATCCTTCTCCAAGAGCGATCATTAAGTTGGTTAGACCAAGTGGCATAGGGGATGAAAGAATGAAAACTCACGAGAGGAATTAGACAAGACAAACATGAACCCAAATAATCATTTGGCTCAACTGAAGGCTACATCTATAACCAAGTAATGTTTCATCCGGCTGCAATAAACTGAAGCAAACCCAAAAAATGTGAAATGGGAATTGAGAACCATGAGAAGCTCAAAAGCAAAACCAGTTAAAATTCCCACAATGCACAGCTCGCCATGGATGGTGCAACACACTTTGCTTTCTTTCTTCAGGGAGTCTTCAAGTTAATTACAATAGTGAATTAATGATGAACTATGGCTGATTAAAGTGACCTTATTCAAGGCTGATGGATGTATTCATCATAAGTATAATTTCACATAGAATATGCAGCAACTGATCATCCATTTCAAACCTAAATTGTCCACAGAAATGTGTACATATATTAAAGTATACATTGAGACATTATTTGTTCAGCTTTCCCAAAGAATTGGTACATATCAATCTAGAACAATGCCAAAGATCTAATTAGGCTTCCTATAAGTGTACTCTACATGCAACCACTGGGCTTGAAAAAATCATGGCATCACACCAGTCAACATTATGAAAAGAATGAGAACTAAAGAGACTTCGATATGAAAGGTGAACAATTAATCGAAAAAGAAAGCTACGAGCATATTGAGTGGATCTTATAAGCACTCGATTTACTTTGATTAGGCAAAATCATTAGGCAAATCAGTAAGAGTTCCATATGCAGCAACTGATCATCCATATCAAAATCATTCCAAAAGCTAGAAAAAATGACACAAAGAATGGTCACTACATACTGGAGCCAGAAAAATAGAAATGTAACTGCAAGTAGAACTGCAAAGAAACAAAGGTACAAATAATGCAACAAACTCTAAGAATTGAGAACCAACTAAAATGAGGCAAATGCAAGGAATGGCTATGCTAGAGAGTTTCATCGAAATAATCAAGCATCTTTAAGTTCCAAAAGAGACTTAACCCATCAAAGTACCAACCCTTAAAACACCAATTAGACTGCACACAATCCAAAGATAACATGAAAAAATAGAAGACTAAAACAGAAATTGAAAATGCCAGTAAGCAATTTTAGCTGCCACCATCTAACACGAAAGCAACATCAAGCAACAGTTGAAACAAAAATTCAAGAACTGGAGAATCAATCAAACCCTGAACTCAAAATTGGTCTGGAGATTGAAAACACTGATGCAGAGGTTAATTTAAGCAACAATTTCAAGAATATTGAAACCTAATAACCCATGCCAATTCAACTAAGAAATATCAGGTAGTACCATTGTTGGTTGGCCCCTAAGCAATGAAAGGTCTTTGCAAAATTGGAAAAGTAAAAGCTAATAGTAAGATAATCATCATCGAGTATAATTATGATTCAGTTCCGGCAAGAAGAAGAAACAACAATGTACGCATATAGCTCACCTCTCAACAGACCAACACAGAGAAAGAGGAAGTACCACTAAGAGTACTACAACTCTACCTCTTTGAGCAGGACCACTCTCGTGTGCAATAGAGATCAATGGGCCTCAAAGACTGTAAAAGGATAGTTACAATGGCGGTGATTGATGACTGGAGTTGCTTTCAAGGGAACAACGAAGATGGAATTGATCCCAGGTTCTACATCTCACATTTTGTGGTCCCCGTCAAGGGAAGAATAGCCCACCAGCAATGAAGCCATTTACAGCCGAAAGATTTTGACTCTAAACCAATTATTTGACCATTTTGTTTCCTGATCAGTCTCACATCCAAGTATCAAAAACAGGATATCAGCAAGATGATTGAAGATATATAAACCTCAAGTACAGTTGATCATGCGATTGGATCTTTTGGTCTATAAAAAAATAGTGGTAAAGGCTCTACATATTCAGTTTGAAGACAAACAGTAGTAATTAGATTCACAAAACGTAACAATAAATTACGATGAATTCAGTCAAATAATGAATATATGGTAGAAAGCTCATAAAGTCTCAACTTAGACGAATCAATCCATAAATAAGAGGATGCAAAAATAAAAATTCTAAAATGCGTCACAAACCTCGTGGTAGGCAGGTAGCTAGTCAGAGCTCCAGAAAGACTGTGTGGTCACACTTTCATTCTTTGAAGAACCCCACAAGTATCCCTTGAAATCCAAGCAGCCTTGGAGAGAACCAGCACCCCAAGCTAATTTGTAAAAGCTTCACTGATTGAAAAACCACCATCGAGAAAGAAGATCCAGGAGAGTAGGAGAAGAACACGTGATTGTCACCAAACTGACAAATTGAAAAAGTGTAAAATGAGGAATCCTAACCATTGCATAAAAATGGTTTCAATAAATAGATAAAGAATCACGAAACTAACGAATTACATGCCATGTAGATTGGAAACAAAAGGGTGTCCATAACCATAAGCTTGAAAGGAAAACATGTTGCTTAATCATAGATGGGAGCGGATATGGTGACAACATCATATTTATTGTTATTGTGACAACAACATATAGGGACCAATAGGAACCCACCATTGTGCATACTTTTCAATTCCATGCGTTGACTAGGCTAAAAAACAAAGGAAGGGTAATTTTGTCCTATCGAAAAATTGCAGCTCGTTTTGTTCGAAAAATAGGACCTCCTTTCTCTCTCCCCGCTTTATTCCCTCTCCAATCGCGCGATGCCGACGCTGAACGAAAACACCAATCGCAGCTAACGCGATGGCGGAACGAGATCCTGATCGCATCTACCGCAACAGCGGCGACGGCGGAGCGAGCTCCTGATCACATCTACCGCAACAGCGACGACGGCGGAACAAGCTCCTAATCGCATCTACCGCAACAACGGCGATGGCGGAGCGAGCTTCTGATCTCAACTAACGCAATAGTGGCAACAACGGATAAAATCAGGCCGCAACAGCTCATATCACCATGACGACGCAACGATTTACTCCAACTCGCATCATTCAAAGAGAAAAAAACAGTCACGACAGAGTAAGCTACAGATCTAAGAAATTACAGCACCATTAAAAAATCGCGTAGCAAGTCATTGAAGATGGACGAGAATCCTGTAGATGAAGTTTCTGTTGGTTTTGTAGATGCTCAACAACTCCTGCAAATTGCAACATCTTCTGACGATGCAACAGAAAGCGGACAACAGCTGGAAACCTCTATTTCCACCAATAGTGTCAACAATGAACAAGAAGAAGGTATGCTCAAATCAATCCTTCCTGTTTTCTTACAATGAACACCACATTCACGCTTATACAAGCCATTTACCATATCATAAGCAGTACAAATCAAACCGCCCATCAAAACAAACAAAAATCTCACAAACGGTACCAAAACCATCGACAAACACACCACGTTCTTCCCAAAACAATCCACGGGAAAAAAAGACAATCAACCAAAACACTTGAAAATCAAACCACAAAACTTCTTAAGCACACCAAAACACCTCCAATGCACACCATTAAAACCTAAATCGTTACATTCCGCAATCTATTTGTAAAAAAAATCATACACTGTAATGCAAACCATAAATGTCATAAAAGCATCATGAATAACTACAATGCAAACCACTTTTCACTTTTCTAGTAAATATCATCGCAAAATGAAATGATCAAGTGCTCATTTCTTTCATCATTGCTTACAGGTGTGACATCAAACAGATCCGAGTTAGACTACACTAGTTTGGGGTTGGCATTCAAAACCATTGAGGAAACAAAACAATTCTACAAGAACTATGCGCACGATCTTGGCTTCAGCATGAGGGACATGGGAACTGTCAAACCTTCTACAAAACGCCAGCTAACCAAAATAGCATGATATGCTAGGTATAGCTGCAACAAAGAAGGATACAAGACGACAAGCAAGTCAAATCCCAAGAATAAAGGATCAATCGATTTCAAATCTTATCAACATGCTGTACCAAAAACTAGAGTCGGCAGCCCAGCTATAATCAAATTCAGATATGATATTAAGAAGGATGAATGGCTGCTGAACAAGTGGATAACAAAACACAACCATGATCTCCTCCCTCCAAAATTCAAGCATTTGTTGAGGTCAAACAAGGGGATCTCAGAAATGCATGCAATGGTCGCAAAAGTGCATGCAGATTGTGGAGTTTCACTATGGCAATCATACGAGTTGTTCACCACAACATCAGGGGGAGGTTGAATGTACCTTTTACCCCTCATGATCTGAAGAACTATATCACAGGGACAAGGCAGAAATCAATGAAACCAGGCGAAGCAATTATACTTCTTCAACATTTTAGCTAGGAAGCTTATATGAATCCATCATTCTTCTATGAAATTGAGGTGGACAGTAACGAAGATATTGCAAGTATATTCTGGGATGATGCAAGAATGTTGTTCGACTATAGTTGCTTTGGAGATACGATCAGTTTTGATACCACATACAGGACAAACCAGAATTATCTTCCACTAGGTCAGTATTCCTTGCACTAGTTAATTTTCATGAGATTTCGAAGTTGAATGCATACCAAACATTACGCAATGCATACAATAAGTAACATAAAACCACACCAAAAACTCTTAAAACAAACGACAAAAAAAAACATGAAATATTCTTTTGTCAGAATCCTAACCACAAACCTCCTAAACCACACTAAACACGTCCTGAAACACACCAATGTATATCATAAAAGACAGGATGTGTTTGTTTCAATACTTAATTCTATGTTGTTTTTTTTTAAATTACACCTTTGTTTGTTGGCTTCAACCACCATCGCACACTTTGCATCTTTGGGGCTTCTCTCCTATATGATAAAACAACCGCTACATTCAACTGGTTGTTCGATGCATTCTTGAAATGTATGTCAGGCACCCGACCAACATCAATATTCACCGACCAAGCTGCTGCAATCGCCGCTGGGATTAGATCGATCATTCTTGAAACATTCCATGGATTGTGTACTTTTCATATCAAGCAGAATGCAGTGAAGCATCTCGACACCACAAACACAGACATTCTAGAAGATATGAAATATGTCACTTTCGCAGTAGAAAATGAAGAAGAATTTGAGTACAATTGGTCAAGGTTGCTACACACATATTATCCAGAAGAAGGCACCAATCCAAGAAACTGATTGGATTCAATTTACAAGGTGAAGAAACAGTGGTCTTCACCATGGGTTAAGGACCACTTCACAGTTGGTATGTAAAGCTCACAGTTGAGTGAGTCTTGTAACAACAACCTCCAAAACTACCTTCAAATAGATGACAACCTAGTTGAGTTCTTCACATACTTCAACAAGTTGCTTGAACGGAAAAGATCAGAAGAAATGGACATGGATTATCAAATGGCAAACAAAGTCCCAAACAACATGTACGTATTACTTCCTTTATTTGAACTTTTTATACTATAGAATGCATCCACAAGTCTCCTTGTGCAAAAAAAAACAGCAGCAAACACCCCACAATTGATATAAAACCCTACAAGAACAGTAGAATACAAACCAGACACCACCTAAAACAATCCATAAAACCTACAATCCACACCACACACCACCTAATACAACCCATAAACACCCCAATGCACACCACACCACTTTAAACAACCCATGAACTCCACAATCCACACCACGCACGACTTAAAATAACAGATAAACCCCACAATCCGCACCACAAACAATAAAATACAGACCATAAAGTCACTAATGTAGACAAGATGCTTATGAATAATTGTATGTTTTATGTCATCTTCCAAAAGGTATGACAGAAGCCCACTTGTTCAGCAAGTCACAAAATTATACACAACTAAGATCTACAGTTCTTTCCTTGAGGAGTATTCAGAAAGCCTTGCTTTTTTTGTGTTCCAGAATGAATCTATGGACAGAGATGGAATGACAGGTTATGAAATGAAGAAACTGGGACGATTAGGCAAAAGAGTTGTGTTAGTGAACAAAGAGGAGAAGAAATACAAGTGCTCGTGTCGTTTGTTTGAAAGTTCAGGCTGGTTGTGCAGACATATAATCAGGAAAATAGAGATGGTTAGATTCAATGGTGATGATATTGAGCAATTGAATATCCCTAAGGAATACATTCTTCCACGATGGACGAGAGATGCCAAATCCGGAGAGAAGTTCACAATAAACACAACAAAATATGTTGCAACAGATACTTATGCAGCTAGGTATCAAGAACTATGTGCTAGCATGGGTATCCTAGCAACAAAAGTTTCAATGCATGACAAGGTCTTCTCAATGGTTAAGGAAAAGATAGTAGAGCTCACTAAACTAGCTTTCCAAGGCCTTCAGACTCAAGGAACTCAACAAACAGAACCTGGTAATTTCACACATCTTGTTAGCATCCCTACTTATGTTCACCAGTAATTTTTTAATCCAAGCCACTAATGATCTAATCCAAACCAATAACATCTGAATCAATCAAATGAAACACACCTCTTACCTTGCATGTTGCTTGTTCAACAGTTGGAACCACCAGTACATCACCCTCACTAAGCGTTGCTGCTTCAGCTACGAATGACATGCATGCCAATCTGAAGGGATTCAAGGCTTGACTAGACCCATGAAAATCAAAGAAGAGGCCAAGAGGTGGACTTGAGATAGCGCTAGAGAGGGCTAGAAAGCAAAGAATTGATGAACAGGTTGCCAACAAGCGTTACAAAAGCAACAATGAGTGATTAGTCTCCTAGTTGTTATCCATGTTTTTTTTAACTGTCATAAACTTTTAGATTTGAATGACAACTGTGAGACAAATATGACAGTTCCAGGTTTTGATAATATTTGAACAAATAATAACACCGATGCAGCAGAACAAACTACATATGTACTAACACACACCATACATTGTAAAACCTTGGGGAAAAGAAACAAACTATAAACCTTATGAACCACACTACAATACCCGTTAAACAATCCACTTTTCTTATAATAAACACCATACACGAAGAAAACAAACTATAAAACCTACTTAACAAAACCAACCCACAAACATATGTAAACTTTCCAGAACACTCATTAAGCAAACCACATATGTACTAACACACACCATACATTGTAAAAACCCTGGGAGAAAGAAACAAACTATAAACCTTATGAACCACACTACAATACCCATTAAAAAATCCACTTGTCTTATTATACACACCATACACGAAGAAAACAAACTACAAAACCTACTTAACAAAACCAACCCACAAACATATGGAAACTCTCCAGAACACTCATTAAGCAAACCACAGATGTACTAAAACACACTATACATTGTAAAAACCCTGGAAAAAAGAAACAAACTATAAACCTTATGAACCACACTACAATACCCATTAAACAATCCACGATTCTTCTTAATCGAACCACAACACTTCAGATACAGAACACAAAAGCCTTAATCAATACCATTACCAATCTATTAAATACAATTGTCACTGTTCAGGCATAGAAACACATATTAACACACTGAAATCTGAAACTGTTGCTTATCATACGAATCCCATAGCAACTACATCCTAAAATCAACTAGTCTTCCTTCCGATCAAACTCCAAACTCTTCTTCTTCACCTCTTCAAGTAAACTGTTCTCCTTGTTGAACAACAATGTTAATGTGATCTCATCCCGCCTCTGCTTGACTTCTTTTTGCCACTTCTTCATAGTTGACACCAGTTTGCCTTCCCAAAACTCAGCAAAATTCATAATAAAAACACCACAGTCAACCCCACCACGTTGTCTAAACCCTCGCATTCTAACCCACTTAAATTCTTCAAATTTGTAGGCCTCTCGTCAACAGGCATGGATGTATTCTGTGGCATAGCGGACCACCATATCCGCAACAGCACGAAACTTGGAATCAAGTTCTTCAGGGTAAAGGCTTTCAAGATAATCGTACCATTTGTTCTTCAGAATCACTACATACTTCCTGTAGTGTCCATCAGAATAGTGTGAGAACATCCACTACACAGTACAGAACAAAAACAAGTCAGTACTTCAAATGCACAATGAAGAAAAAACACACATGAAACAATGTACCAAATGTGACTAAAAAAATACATACAAAATCACATTGTGAGAAGTGCAAATCATCTAGTATCCACTTGCAATTTGACATAATTTCATCAGTCTCTTCAAAAAAATTAGGCAGCGTTCCAGACTCTAGCAGTATAGTTTGCACTTTTTGCTACAAACTAGAACACACCAGAAACACAGTAAAACAAACCAGACGTATTATAATGCGCACCACAAAAACCCTAAAACAAACCAGAACTAGCTGAAAATGTAACTCACTGCCAGCCTTATATAGAACACCCATCTTTTCAGTTTCCCGCTTCTCACTTGCTCCCGATTCAGATAGGCAGAATAGCAATCAACAACATCTACACTCACCCATTACTCATGTGCCAAAGTCTCTGTGTCTTTTCTGTACAATCAATCGTATCCATCAACACGACTGAAAAGGAATTCCTTCCTATTTTTCTTAATTCCATAACAAACAAAACAGTCGGCATTAGAAAAGTATTAATAAGCACTATATATAAAAATAATACAAACAACCACATATGTATGAAATCTATACACATTAACTTACAAGTTACTCGAATCCCTTGTATATCGCAACACAACACACTTCAACACATCATCATCGACACCTAATGACCCTCCAGCATTCTTCACTTTCAATGTTTTCTGATTTTTAAAGCAACCCACAAATTAGATAAAGTATCACAAAAAACAACTAAAACAAACCACAAATGTGATAAAAACACACTACAAAAACAAACCAAAACTGGAACACTGTACAATAAATTACCTTTTCCTTACTAAGTCTCTGAATTAGCTGACTCAA